CATATAAATGCAAGCCCATTTCTTGCATCCATGTTTTGTGTAGGATTTAAAAATACGTATATTTAGGACTTTAAAACCCTTTCCACGAATGTTTGACAATTTTCTAAAACTGATCTGTGGATGCTACTCTGCTTTTCCCTTTCGGCTTGACTTCCTTTGAGCATTCATGTGGCTGTGTTTTCCAGGAATAAATAGGAAGCAAATGGTAATTTGAGAGTGCAGCTAAGCCAGTTTTGAGGGGCCTTGCACCACAGGCTCTTGCAGTAAGTTTTTCCAGTTCCATGTGATGTTAGTTGCTTTTGGGTGAGATATGACAGTGGCTGCTGCTTTGTTCTTGCAGCTGGAGGCTCCTCTTCAGCTGGTTGAAATGCTTTGGGGGTGCACAACTGCTGCTGGAGCATTGCACTCTAAAGACAGTAACTGCTAGGGAAAGAACCATGACTCATCATGAGGTCCAGGGCTTGTGGTTCAGGAGCGGAAATGCAGCTCAGCTGGATCACTAAGCTGGCAGAGCTGCTGCTGGACTGCTTTTCAGGGAGCTGTTCATGACATGAAACTTCCCTGCAGTTTTGGCCTGCTTTAAACGTTGCCAAATTAGGAAATTGCATTTGTGCTCATGTTATGGGCACAAACCATCCAAGGTTCTCAGATGAAATGTGATAATTTACTGATGATATATTTAAGGGTCCTGCCAAGGCTGGATCCTTGGCATCAAGGTGGAAAGCAGTTCATGTAGATTTAGCAATATTTGGAGAATTTAAGTATTCATGCAGCTTGAGGTCTCTCTGGTCCTGTTCTTAGTTTTATTATCTGGCTCTGGGCAGTTTTCTGAATGATTTTTTTTGAGGTGTTCCAGCTCTCTTCACAGGTTGATACCACATTTTTATCAGTTATCTTTAAAACCCCACAACAAACTAGCAGCATGTGCAGTGAAGGAGCCTGTATAATACCAGTAGTCCAGAAGTTTACCATCAGTTTCACCTTCCCTCAATAGCCATCTTTCTTTCACTCCTTCCCACATTCCCAATGGCTGATAGCCTACATACATTCTTTACTGAGTTATTTCACAACAGTAAAATTAGGAAGAGTAAACAGTGTCCTTAATAACTTATAATAACTTAATAACTGAACTGGACTGTATTTGGGAACCTTACTCTCAAAATGGTGGATAGTTGGAAGGAAAACTTCTGATCCCATTGTCAGTATGACTTTATAATGGAAGGGCTTTTGAATTTAGAATATTTTCAGAGCAGGCAGTGTATTTTAAAATACTTGTATCTGAACTGCTTTTTGAATTTTAGCACTAGATAAGCTTGAGGTTTAGTATAATACATGTTTAGTATTATTTTATTGTCTATAAAATGATTTCTATTCACAAAGGTAAATGTAGTGCACATTATTATTAAAATGTGGCATGCAGCACCAGTGTCAAAAGAATTTGTTTTGTGAAAAAAAATAAAAAAACAAAACCACAACACCTAGGTATTTAATACTTTTGTATGTATGATCCAATACATTTTCTTTTAAGGCATATAGTACAGTTTTTGGAGTGCCAAAAGGCACTTACATCATACTTCAATGCTTTTCATGCATGTGTGAAGCTAAACTTGTAAAGACTGGCTTTTGTGAAACACTTAGTTCCACACAGTCTCAGTTTTTATGAAATGAAGATATAAAGCAGAAAAAGACTTAAGTGTCCTGAACACAAGTTATCAGGATTTGGCCCCTGCTTTAAGTTCCTATACATATTTGGGAGCAATGGCTGCCTTTTTGGTTACTGTGTACCTCATTCTGAACAAAAATTGACAGATTAATATTCTCACTTCTCAGCAATTTTCATCCTTATGTGAACAGCAAGGAGTGTTTGCTTTAGGTCTTTTGATCAACAGATATTGATAGAGTTGCTGTGATATATGTGAAAAGAAAACAATAGGTAGTGCTTCCTCTATATTATTCGCAAAACTGATAGGTATTATGTCATTTCTACAGGTACAATTCCAGTATAATTCTGAAATACAGTTATAACAAATATTTTTCTCTGGACAATTTTAATTCTGTTAATGGAGTTACATGCAGCTAGTGGAAGCCATTTATTGTGATGAACTGTGTTGTTTTTATCAAAGATAAAAAATATACTTGGATACATTATGTTGAAGCATTAACATTTTTCTCTATGTAGAGCTCCCACGACAGAGTTGAATATCCCTTGAGTATCACATTTTTTTTACTGATGTAACTCTGCAAAACTGCTGCATGTTGGTTTGAGTGCAACAGCTTCAGTAGATGTAGGGGTGTACTTTCATGTACATAATGTAAAATTCATCTGTGCATCAGTATGGCTGCAGCACATTAAAAAAGGCTATTTTTATACATAAATAGCCTTTAAAAAAGGCTTTGGACATATATGTTGGCTACAGGTGTAGAGACATCGTGGCATTGTTTATTCCCCAGGATCTAGACTAAATCTGGAGAAGTGAGCTCAGGAACCTCTTTGTTCAGAGTTATGTGAGGATATCACATGCATCTTATTTCTTAAGCAAATATTCTGCTTCAGAGAGATATGTGCCCTGCAGGCAGAAAAAGCAGCAGTTGGTTGAAAGAATTAAGTAAAATACTGGGAAAGCAAGGCTCAAGATTTCCATCAACTTGAGCAGAATTAGGGTCAAGATCTCTTCTGTTTGCATTGTGGTACTGTGCTAGTGTATTAAATCATTGTCAGCAACTTCCATGAAAATGTATTTCTTTGGAGTTTGCTTAAACAAAGAGTTCACATAAGTTTTCACACTAATCCATCTTCAGACCTTTATGTATGCAGCTTACTTGTTGAGAGATGTAGTGAATGGAGGAAACTGTCCTTTCCTATTCCTGTCATTACTTGCAGGAGCATGCTGTCTATCTAAATCAATAGCTTGTTCCATTCTGATTTATCCAGGTGTCTCTGCTTTTATCACATATCATTATGAGCCCCACATTACCAAAACAGAGCGAGGAACTGGACAGAGTTAAGAAACTACAAGAGGGAATATCAAGGACAGGACAACAAGTCTGACCAAAATTGCATGTCTGAATAAGGTGCTGGAGCAATGATTGGAGGGAATAGGACATTATGGCTGCCAAGACATTAAAGACATTTAAGAAGAAAGCAAAGGAGTGGAGTGTGGTATCTTCTGTATTCTAAGTTATATTTTCAGAAGTGGAGAGTTTTACCTGACTGTAAGGGAAATTTGATAAAAGCATGAGGAATGTGCCTCCTAAGGAAGGGAGGAAAACTCCTTCACCTGGGATTCTGGGAATTGCAGAGCATAAAACATACTGTCAATGACGAGCTCTCATGTCCAGGAGCTTGGCTGATATTTATCTTCTACAGCTCCTGTGCTTCTTGAGTTAGTCAAATCTTTGCAGCTTACACACTTCCTCAGTTGCATTGAAACCCTTTAGATACATGGGATAGGTAGTATTTGCCTGCATGTTCTTTACTATTTAAAGTTTCTAAGGAAGTGGTTCCACATTTGATGGTCTTGTGTGGTAAAGAAGCTTTAGAATACTAATGCCTAGTGCACATAATTTTTTTTGGTAAAGTTTTTCAAGTATATGCCTCAAAACCAGGCAATTAATTTGTATTTCATTAGAAAGAGCAACATTTCAATAGAAAGCTGTTACAGCAAAATGATTATCAATCAGCAATTACAAGTTAATACTTAAAAAAATGTTTTGATTTAGACCTGTACAACAATAGTATTTTTGCTCAGGGATAACAGCAAATTTAAGGCTCAGAAAACTTATTTTGAGGTCCTAATACATACTGAACAACATAATTTTGAGTGATTTTTATTTTTAATTCCAGTTGAAAAGCTTTTAAAAATTAGAAGCATGGCTTAGATACATTTATCTATTTAACTTCCATTGTGATTACTGATTTTTTTTTACCTAAGTGTGCAGTTACTTTTTTTTTTTACTTTTTTTTTTTTTCTGGATATTTGTACAACTACAGTACTGGCTCTAGAAGCACTTACTTTCTGCCTAAACCAAAACAAGAAAGTGACAGAGATGTTTTGATGCTGATCATATTTTACAAGTGTACAGTTCTAGCAAGCATGGTGTATCTTTTTTCAAAACCAAAAAGTATTCCAGGTTTCATAGTTCACTAGTACAATCAGAAACTGATAGGTAATTAAGATTAATGGAAAAGCCCATGAGCCTTATAGAAGAAAAATTAAGGGATAAATAGATAATTAAGACCTTTCCATGATTTGGAAGCACTTTTTAGATATGAGAGACTAAGACTAAAAAAAAAAAAAAATCCTTAGAAAATTTACCAAATATTACCTAATTCTGTGAGTTGATTTTAAAGATTTTTTTTTTTTTTTTATCAAGCAGAGCCTTCAGCAAGTGGTTTATTTAAATTTACAGCACTTTTCCAGAAAGACTTAAGTTGACAGAATAACAGAATCAGGTCATTTAGTATGTGCCATTAGAGCTGAGCTGTTTCATCTCATGGCATTTTATAAAGTTTATTAATAAAGGTTTCTTGTTGAGGATGTTACTGGTTTGAGTGCTGTTAACAGCAGTTGAGTACTAGCTGATTTTTTTTCCTAAGATTACATGCTTACTAAAGTTACTTTAAATAACTTTCAGATTCATTATACTCATTATTTCACCAACATATTACTGAAACAATGTGTTCAATGCCAATATTTAGGAAAACCCCCATAATTACAGCAATTACAGAGGGAAAGTTCTAGTCTGCAGTGCTTCATTCTCATACATATAGGGAGAGTTTTACACATTATAGCTAAGCTACACATGTAAAATAACCTTGCTAAATTAAGGAGCAATTACTTGGTTTATCATTGTTTGCCTTAAAAATATCACCATCTTGAAAAAAGGAAAAAGAACTTGTGGGGCAGGACTTTACACACTGACTTTTTGGAGGACTGTTGTTATGAATATCACCTAAGCTCAATGGATAATCAATTAGATCTATGCTTTCTTTGCAGCTCTTTCCAAACACTTTTTTCTCCGAGCCCCGCCATTCTACTCGGCATGCTGCGGTGGGTCCTGTCAGCACCCTGCATCCCCCACTGCTTTTCCAAGTAAGTTTTTATGCTTCATCAGTAATGCTTGAGTTATTCTGTAAACCAAAGCAGCAGGATTTAATGTGTTCTGGAAAACTAATTGGTGATGCAATGGCAGCAGCTAATTCCTTAGTAAAATCACAGCAATCCTATTCAGAGGGTTTCCAAAGATTTATCAAACTTAAGTACACTGAGCAATTGTGAGAGGTTTCTAATGGCATTGAGACACCCAGACAGAGCTAACCTAGGAAAGTGCCTTGTTTTCACTTTGCTAGAAACAATTCTTTAAAATCAGTAACTCTTAAAAATCAGTGTCAATAAACATTTGCAAATAAAATAGCTGGAGGATTGTCAAATGTGTGCTGCATTTTAATGTTTGTTAGGGGTAAATTATGATTCAGGAAGCCTTAGGATTATTTAAATACAACACTCATTCTTTTTGTAGCAGTCAAATGTGTGCACATGTTTAATTTGTTTCTCTTTCTTTAATCATAATGTAAAAAATTGAAGAAGTATGTTGAAGAGAATTTTGTCCAGTGTACACGTTCTATTCAGGATTAAGAACTGTAACCCACTTCCATTTAATTCAAAACTAAATTTAGCCTTGATTAGGAAGATTGCATGAAATAGTTTAAGAATGGACAGTCATTCATGATTTTGTGATTATGGCTCAGGAATGCAAACAGAAGGAGCATTTCTTTTTTCTTCAAAACAAAAAAAAGCACAAATTGCTTGTCAAATCCAAATGAAAATTGGAGTTCATGTATGCTCTGGCATATACTTTTTTATCACAGTTGAATTCAAACCATTCCTGCCTAAAGTGCATGCTTTTTATGAATGTTTCAGAAGGGCAGTTGCTAAGTTGAATGATTCTTGACAAGTGAGGCAGCAAATGCTGGCAGTTTAATGAGCTGCAAGTTTCTGAGCACCTCTTTAGGGGGCTGACACTTTCCCACAGAGCGTTTTACATGGCCTAGGCTCTCCCACAATGGCTGACAGCACCATGACCAATCACCACTTTCACTTTACTCATCCACACGCGACCTCACCACAATTTTTCACTGTGCAGATGAACTTTAGGAACCATTTCACATTGAAAAGGCCTGGGCAAGGGTCAGTTGCCCTTTTGTATGGCCATAAAGCAATACTCTATGTGCCAGTCTTTTCTCCTGTCTCACATTCCAAGAGATTTTCTGGACACCATTTAAAGCACTTGACTGAAAAATAAAGCAGTGAATGAAACTGACTTTTATAGACTCATTCTAGCTCATCTTCCCATATAACCCTGTCTACCTGAAAAGGGATTTAGTGGATGAGCTGAGTGTATACAGGGACTTGCTGAATACATAGGCCCATTATCAACTGTGGGGATTGTTTATTAACCAGGACTGATACACTACTATTTTGGAAGTGACCTATTAATTGTCCATTTAACTAGAATGTATTGAATTCTAATGAAAAAATGGAAACCATGACTAAAGCTTTTACTTGCTCCTTCAAGGTGGTCTCTGCCATGAAGGCAAATGAAGATTGTTCCACAGATTAAGGGGACATTTATCACTATATATTAGGACACAAAGGGAAGACTTAACAAAAATCAAACCAGCAACATAGAAAATAGTTGGTCACATTTATCTCAGCAGCACACTAAACCTTCGGTTGCATGTTCAGAATGACGAGCTGCAAGCTGACATATTTAATTTTGCTGGAATCGTTGAAATGTATAAATAACTGCCTATCCCACTGCACTGAAAAATCCTATAATCCACAAACTGAAATTTAGTTTTTGTATAGCAGTTGGAATGCATTCTAGATAATGGCTTATTTTTAAAGAAATTCTTTAGGCTACTCATTTGGTAGTAGGTTTCAGACTTTTGACCCATGTGATGCTTGTTAATGCTTCTGAACATTCTGCTCAACATTACATTTTGTTCAGTTAATCTTTTAAAATCCATCACATATTGTGCCTTAGAGTGTAAAGATGCCTCACTATTAAGTTGGTCTAATATAGGCGTTAAACTGGACCCTACATACTGCCTGTACAGGAATTAATTGGTGCCTCGGGGCTCCAGCAGGAGGTTGTTTCCTTGCTGATTGACTGTTAACAACCAGCCAGGCAAGACAAATTTTAAGGGGTCACATAATTTGGCGTCCTCTATCCTTGGCTGACAACTCCATTGTGGAATGGAGGCAGGGAGGCAAGGACCAGCCCTGTTACGCCTCTTCCCTTGCTGGTGTCTCTCATCCCCCAGTGGGGATGAGAGAAGGTACCAGTTCTGCTTCTGCTGGACTGTACCTTCCAGTAAACCTCAGAATAGCTGACAATTCAGCTGAAACTAATAAGAGTCTACCTGGAAAAAGGTACCTAAATTCACTAAGTTTGAGCAAGAAAGAGAGAAAACATGCCTGAAGAAGGAAGGCTCCCAGCTTGCCCCCAGTTTTGTGGCCACGATTGGAGTATGCAGTGGGGGTTATGAGGAGACTCTGCAGTCCCCAGAGAGATATCAACTTGGCTTGCCCCTTGTGGAAACCTCCATTTTGATATTTTGACTTTTGCTTGGTTTTTTATTTTATTTTTATTTTGTTTTTGTTTGTATGGTTTTGGATGAAGTCTGACTGTGTATCACAGAGTAATAAATATCAGGAAATTAACCAGTAGTATGATTTTTGTATCTGGTCTTAGATATAATTTTGAAAATTGAAATACATCTGTGTAAATTAAAGGTTATTTATACTGTAACATTGTAAATCATAATAATTCTTTTTTACCACACACTGTTATGAGGGACAAATATAAAGATCTTGAAAAGTACAAGAAAAGAATTGGCAGAATGCAGTGGCCTCTAAATCAGTAATGTTTCACAGGGGTAGTCTTATTTTAGGGAATAATCATTGTACACTTGCTCAGCTTCTGATACTCTATTGGTCAGAGCTGGAAGCAGGATGCAGGGGTAATGTAATATCAAACCGGTAACACATAGCTACAAAAGTATTTTGTCAACTCTGCAAGACATACAGATACACACTTCAGTTTCACATCATTATACTACAATATCCTCAGTACACGTGTGTTTGTTTTTCTGTGGGTGTTTAAAGATACATATACCCATGTGTATATATATATATACTATTCAGAAGTTGAAATGTGGTGTAGCCCCAAGGAACAGTTTGTGGAAACTGCATCTGGAATTCATTAATATTTTCAAGAGCACTATATCAATTGAAAAAATGTATTTCATTTCCCCCCCAGCCCATTACAGCTGAATAGAATTGATAGACTTTTTCACCAAAAAAAAGTTTAGTATTTTAGAGAATCTGCTTTTCAGGGGGAATTTGCCTTTTGCTTCGATATGAAAATGATCAGATCTGTTGTAGGAATTGAGCAGCAGCACACCTTTGCAGCTGCTGTAACTATAAGCTGGGAGGGCAATATAGGCCTTGGATGTGAGAAGGTGGACAGCAGGAGGGCAGCTTGCATCTCCTACAGCAAGACTGAGAATTGCAACTCCTACAGCAAGACTGTAGGTTTCAGTGGCTGTACAGCCATGGCACAGGTCTCTGAGCCAAAGTGCAGCTGTTTCCTGGCCTGCTTGCATCTCCCTAGTTATCACATGCCTCCTTGATGATGGGCCCAATTCAACTGGTTCCTGCTCCTGCTTCATGTATGAGTATTTGAGGAAGCTGGGAACACTGGAAGCATATGAAACTTCACCAAGGACTGTTTCTCCTACACCATATCTTTCTAGGGGAGAGGGAGCATGGCAAAGCTCTAAGGCTTTAGGTTTTATTGAGTATGAGGAGCATGAGAGATTTATCTTGGGGTTCTGTGCTCTTTGTGTGACCACTTCTACTTCACTGCAACTCTGTCCCCCAGTTTTGAGGCTGTTTTCCAGGGTAGGGCTCCCTCTAGCATACATTAAGGGGATGTGACTGGATTCACTGAAAACTGTCCTCCCAGGACTTACTATGAGATGTCAAAGGATTAGAAACCCAGGCTGAAAGGAGTAAGTCCAAGTACTCTCCAAATCCTCTAATAAAGAAATTGCTGCAGTTTCCAGACTAACTAAGTGAATGACCAGGGATTTTCTGAGAAATAGTTCACTCTGAAAGCCTTTCCTTAGGGGAAAAAAAAAAAAAAAAAAAGAGAAAAAAAAGGAAGGGCTACTTAGTTTCTTTGAATCAATACCACTTTTATCTTATTTTACATTCCACACAAGGAGTAAGTAAACTCATAGGAAAACTTGTTGCAGTTTATTCAGTGGCAAGCACAGGCAAAGAAAAGCAAAGTTCTTCCCTGACTGTATTTGAATTTTGCAGTAGAATGGGCTCTGTCCTAATATTCCTCTTTGAACTCATCTGATTTACTTTGCACCATGTCAGAGGGAGACTCTTGAGTACTGACTCTAGATCCAAGTGAGAATTTAATCGTTAATGAACATAACTGAAGCATTACAACACACTTATAACACCAACAAATCCAAAGTGGGGCAAGAGTCTGCAAGCATTGAACAGCACTTAATATTCTCTGGTATGTGCTAGGTGTTATGGGAAACTCTCATCTCTTTCCACTAGGGGAGGAAAGTGTGCTGCCTCTTCTGACCCAGGAATCTAACTCCAAATCCCGGAGAGGCATATTAAGAAGAGCTGTCTTTTCTGAAGACCAGAGGAAAGCTTTGGAGAAAATGTTCCAGAAGCAGAAGTATATTAGTAAAACAGACAGGAAGAAACTGGCCCTTAACCTGGGTCTAAAGGAGTCTCAGGTAAGGAATTTTTCCCTTTCGGGGAAAAATCTTTAAAATGGCTTTGATGGAGGAAAAATGAAAAATTCAGGGGCAGCCCTGAGCTCTTTTACCTGCAAAGACCTCAATGAATCAATGGTAGTTTAAACCAGGGAATACTTTAACAGTTTCCTGTATGTATACATTCAAAAATTGATCACTCCATTTTCTCACAAAGAGACATGATCTCTGCATTTCATTTTCAACTCCCTTTTTTTGCTGTCTGACAGAGCCCTGTGGAAGCTGTGGTGTAGGGAACTGTGCTCCATCCCACTACTCTAAAGGCAGTGGAAAAAAACGTGAGAGCATAGAGCATTCCTTCATTCCACTGAGCATCCTTTGCACTCACAGATGAATGACTAGGGATAAGGCACTTCCTTTGGAATTGTTCTGCCCCAAGAGACAGGCAACCATTCCTATGGAGAGACACTTGACTGCACAAAGAAAGAGATTTTCAAGCTGAGAGATACCTTAGGGAGAAAAACCTTACAGGATGACCTTCTAAAACACTCCCATTTTACTTACCAATTCACATTTTATGGGATTTTTTTGCATGAGTCTGAGTTGGTCTACTGCAGGATTAGCTGAGGATCTCATACCTCCAGTGAGCTGTTCTGACTGAACAACTACATTAATAGTGGTGCTGAATAGCAGTAGCCCAGTCTGGAATCCTGGGGGCCTCATCTATCTGCAGATAAAAACAAAGGAAAAGCTTTTCTGGCCTGAAGAGCACAAAATCTGAAAGAAACTGTGGGGAAAAAAAAAGTTTGTGAGGGCATGTAACAGCAGAAAATTAACATGGTAGTTGCTGACAGGTAGGATTCTGAAGGAGCTGGAGTAGATGCAGCCCTCTAGATTGCAGCTGAAAATACTGAGAGGCCACAGTACAATTTTGTTTCTTTGCATGCAGTAGGAATGAAAGTACTCAAGATATGAGTGCAGAAGCTGTCTAGGGGACAGAAAAGCCTGGGAATGGTGGTGAGAGCTCTCATCATCTTTATCTTGGATATTTTCAGAACTTGAAAAGGCTCTCAACAATTTGATCAAACTTTGCAGTTGGCTCCAGTTTGCACAGGAGTTTAGATCTGGTGGTCTGTGGTGGTTCCTTGCAACCTGATGACTGACACCATTGCAAGCACTGCAACAATAAACAAAAATAAGCAGTGTGGTGTTTCTCAGTGTGATGTACAGAACTGTAATCTCTGCAGGAAAACTATTTCAATGGAAATGTGTAATTGCATTCACCAGTGTGCTGCCTAAAAAATTTCCCCAATTGTAATTCTTAATATTACAGTTATTTCCTCGAGATTATTTTCTGTGCTCATGTTATTCAAGAGAGCTTGGGGTTGTAAAAAATAGTATAATGATATACAGATAACAACTACTACTCCAAGAATATAATTTCACAACAGTGACAGACCAGATGATATTCATCTCTTTTTTTTATTCTCCTCATGAGAGGAAGAGAAGTTGCTGTGAAGGTTACTTCTTAAATTTTCTGACCAGTTGTGCTGGGGGAACAATACCTGTCATCTAAGACAATGATTCTCAAACCTTTGAAACCATAGCCCCTTTGTCTTCATATCAAGTATCTGAATACTAGACCTAAAAGCAAATGTTCAAGGGAGAAGAGAGCACAGTCTGAATAATTTGATTGATCATTCTCACCTTTCGTCTCTTCATGTAAAACCAGTTCCTGGTTGTATATTCCCTCAAGCTTTCCCCAGCATTTCATAAATGCCTTTGAATGCCTGTGTTTAAGAGTTGCAACTTAAAGTTTTTGAAAAGTTGATTTTTATCTCAAAATCATATGGGTTCTAGACAACTCCTTAAAAACTGTAGTCAGGCAGACAAAATGTCTTTAAATCCTCAATCCTGTGTCCTACAACACACTTTTCAAAGCTGTATGGCCAAGGTGATTTTACCTATGTTTGTAGAAGGTACTTCTTCATACAGCCTGTGTTTGATAGAGGCCTTCACACCACCAGTAATACCACTTAGTTTTCTTAATGATGATACTACTTTTCTCTGGGAGTTCTCTTCTGTCTAGAAGGATGTTGCTATAGGAAGCTCTCCTCTATCCCTAGCTATTGGGCTGTCCATTTTCCAGTCTAAGCTAAGTAATCACCTGTTGTAGAGCATGAAAATCTAGGAGAATATTTGTTCCAGGTGTAATAAATAGTGATGGGAAAATCCTCAGATAATGTCAGTCAGCTGGCTTCACTGGATCTCTACTGTAACAATGAATAAGGAAGGAATATGAAACTGAGAGGATGGAAAGAGAAAAAGCACTTGTTAGGGCAAAGTTATTTAAAACAAAGAATGATAATTAACTCTCATTAACTTGCAAACAGGTGAAAATTTGGTTTCAGAATCGAAGGATGAAATGGCGAAACTCCAAAGAAAAAGAAGTGCTTTCTAACAGGTGCCTCCAAGAAGAAGGTCTTCAGGAGAACTACCTCTCACGATCCACCATGAATTTTACCTCCCCATGCCCATCTGTGTGGGAAATGTCTGAAGAGCGGGCAAGTCCAAGGTGGAGAGAGCATTCTCCAGGAAATTCTGAAAGACTGACTAGTACACAACCACCTCCAAGAGCGAATTCATTGCAGAGCCCACTCTATTTGTATCCTGACCAAGACACTGCAAACAAGGCATCATCAAGTGTGAGGGAGTAGGGGCAGTTTGTAAATGGAGTGGGAGAGGGCAGGCTTCAAATGAGCAGTGTTTTAAGATTAACAATATTTGAACATTGTAAAGTTAACTAGTTTATGCTTCAAAAATATGCTAAAGTTTAACACATTAAAATTGCAAGCAACTAATGATTTAAGAAGTATTCGTCAATATTCAATCTTTTCTTGTGTCTTTTCCAGTGTTATACTGACCTTTAAGTAAAATAGGAACTGATGGTAAGTAAAATGAAGTGAAGAGCATGAAGCTGAATTTGTGCTCTAATTTATACATCTGCACTGTATGTGATGCTCATTAAAACACACACTAATAGAGTCACTTTTATTTCTCATTGTAGTCAGACCAATTAATTTCTTCTGTGCATGAGATAAGAGTTCTGTTTCTCTCAAGACAGTAAGTGGTTTTGGGTTCTTTTAGAAATTCATTAACACAATAGATTCATATGGACAAATATAAACATTTTTGGTGTGTTTTCTCCATCTGTCCTCACCTATGTCAGTATTCAATTAGCTTTATTATGATCACAGGTCAACTGATAACTTTGGTAAAGTATGCAATATTAAAAGGCAACCAACCTACTCTATAAATACTCTGTGTTTAAGGAACTCAGATGAGACTGTGTATTGGAAAGTGCAATTCACTGACTTCTGTCTTTTTGCCCATGCATGAATCTACTAGCACTGTTAACGCTGCAGCTTCTTTTTTTGGGGTGTTGGCACAATCTTTTGTATTTCAAAACTGTAATGACAGTGTGCAGAATTGTAGTCAAAATGCACTAAGCAACAGACCCGTAACTGGAAAAATTGCTACTACAGCTAGTTCAGAAAATTACTTATGGAGATGACATACCATAGTGGCATTATTCCTGACTTACTGCTGTTTAAACTTGTGCCAGTAAGGACACATTAGCATATATCTGTATCAAAGACAGAACAGTATTCTGTGTAATACAAGTAGCTTAGAATATTATTAAAGCTACTTAAAATTATTTGCTTGCTTAATCCACTTTAAGAAGATCTTAATGAAGGAATCTGTGAATTTAGGTGTATCTTTCTTTGTTTTATTTGCAAATCTTTATAGTTTAAAATGGGAGTATAACATTCATTTTCATACATTTATGGATGTCTTTGTTGAGAAGAGGGACTAAAGATATTTTATGTTACAGGGAAAACCTTTTGGAGAACATTATGGTTTTATAGGGACTATTTTCTTTCTGGCATTCATACATTTTATAGGTGAAAGATTATGATAATCTAGTCTGGCTTTTCTTATCATATATGCCTTGAATGTTTCTGATTATTCTTGCCTAGAGCTCCGAATCTTTTGAACTGTATTGTACAGCTTTGAAAAAGCAGTGCAATTGTTGTGGAGTAAATTGTTATTTAATGTTTTACCTTTTGATAGAGGAACTACTATTCCTCTTGTTACATTGTATTATCTGGGAGGTGAAGTTTAGATATATTTGCAGCTAAAAAACTTGAGATTGCAATGATGATGCTTGTATCATAATATTTATGCACGATCAGGTGAGTTTTGTATTTTGCCTTGTGCATATCTTGCCTTCTCAGTGGCCAAATATGCAGTCCTAGTCTTGCATTATGTGGCATCCCTTGCATGTGATTTCTTCTGCTTGATTTAAAGAAAAAAACAAATTACAGAAGAATTAAGATTTATAAATTAAGATAAATTATCTCTTCCTGCATTTACAAATCTTCGTTCGTGTAAGTCGGCTCAATACCTACCCTCAGAAAGTCCTTAAACGTGTGTTATATACTGGTCAGTAATGAGTTTATTCCTGTCTTGCAATTGAAATCCTGGAACCAGCTCAGATTCTGTGAGAAGCCTTTGGGGGTGGGTGGGAACAGACAGATTGTGTACACATGGGGGTGAATTTGGTGTTGAAGTCCTGCCGTGTTTGACCAGCTCCTGCCTGAAGGACCAGCAAGGGTTAGTAGCCCAGATAACATGTATTCATCAGTGCTTCCTGTTTTAGAGGAAATCTGTACGGTAGGGGTGGTGGGTTTTTTTAATCTCACCTTTAATGGAAAGGGAGCCTTCCCAGCTGCTCATACTCTTTTACTACAAGCCAATGAAGCATCAGTGTTACAGGCAACACTTTTGGAGATGGGAGATGCAATTCAGAATGCTCCTTGGGAAATTCTTGCAGTTCATGGTGTTGCAAGCACAAAATGTGAGCTTCTGTCAAAACTGTGAGCTGATGAACAGAATTCATCTGAAGGCTATCTCACAGAGGTAAAGATCAAGCAAGGCTCATTCAAAATTGGTTTCACAGTTGTAGTATTACAGGTATTTTAAATTCAACAAGTTACAGCTTCACTGTAGTTTCAGTATGCCAGATAAAACATTCTTTACCTGAAAATGGTGATCAAGCTTTTTAAAAATCCCTAAATGCGTACGTGCAATTCTTGAATTATATCTAAAATAGTCTGATTAAATTAAGATTTAGGCCCATGAGACATACAACCTTGATTCCTCTGATTTTGTGTTACATAAAGGATATGTTTCCCTTCAGCCTATACTGTGAAAACTTGGTAAATGAGAAAAAGCATCCTGTACAAATAATATATTTAGGGTGCCAATCTTTTCTTTGTGAAGGAACAAGTAGTATTGAGTTTGTTCAAATACAGTATGCATTCTAGTTTTAAAAAGAACAGAGAGGGCACAGGTATACAAAATGCCCAGCAGATATTTGAACTGCTTTATAACAGACACGGTGCAGAGGTGAAAGATGTAGTGCAGCTGGTATAAGGGAGTGACATGATAGATACGAGTGACACCTAGGTTAAAACCAGCAGTGTGATACTTGGACTTAAAAGATTTGACCTGATAGATGATCTTGGTTGTAGGCTATCAGAGGTATTTCCTGTGTGTAGCATTTTGAGACTATAGTTACTGGCTGTGGAGTATTATGAAGGACATTTATTGGGATCCTGGGACTGAGGAGAGTCTGGGTACCTCAAATTGCAAACCACAGTTAAAAACCTCATCTCTTCAGAGGCCACAAACAAAGCAGATACTTATACTTGCTGGGCACTTCTCTGTTTGTTCTGGCAACTTATCAATGCTAATGTAATACAGAATACAACACGGAAAGGGAGGAAAGGCTGAGACTCAGTACTCGCTTTGTTAACTGAGCTGCAGACATCCATGTTCTCAGGCTGCACTGCTGACACAGAGATTTCTGCCCAAACCAGCAGCCTCAGGAACAGAAGAGGCTTTTCTCATCCCACCTATTGAAGATCCTCCGTATGGATCTTCAGCACATACATACATGCAGTTCAATAGGAATGTGCATCTTGAAAGTATGTTCTTAACATCAGGCAGAGGAGCTTCCATGATACCTAAGAAGCTGATTTCCTTTTAGAACTGGCTGTTGAACTTTAAAAATGTGTCGTAATGCAGATTTTTGCAGTCTGTATCAGGCACAGCCACAGTCATATTTTACTGCATGTGACGACTGAGAACCTGTGAACATGAGAGGACAGCAAGCTTCTCCATGGACCTCATAGAACCTTGTTAAAAGCTGGATTTGCTGACCGCAGCTATGTCAGCATTTAAACTTTGGTTGTACAGATTTAGAGTATAAAATGATTTTTTGAAAGTTATCTTGTTTTTATTGATTCTTTGCCAAACAGGAAATAAGTGTTATGATCTTCTCAGGAGAACAGGGTTGCTTTAAGGCACAAAACTGTATTATTAGCTTCAGTGTCAGAACAGTAGTACAAAGGTCAAATGTCACTCCTGAGCTGCAGTAATACATCAGATTTGTTTTATCTGCTGTGATTTACTAGTACTGGGTTTTAAATACCAGTTGCCATCACTGTAGCCACACAGCTCCTCTGACGAATCTATGTTCTGCAGTCAAAAGACTGACATAAATTAAATACATTCACATGCTTCAGCACCCTCTACCATCTAGACTCTTCCTGATTTTCACATACTAGAAGGAAAGACAAACCAATTTCTTGATGATAGCTGTAAATTCAGTGCCTTTAGAAAGGAACAGAGAGAGTTCAATTAACTTCAGCTTTGAACCAGGGGAGACCAAAAAATCCCTAAAGAGAAAGGTTCACAGTGAATGAAATTGTCATGGACTGAAGAAGTCTTTAAATGAGTGTGCTTCTAAGCCATGTACCTGGTAACTGCTGCTCACCTTTACTGTAAGGTAAACTGGGATAGTTAAACCTGAGTCTGAAATGCTCCCATGCAGACTTGCACCCAAATTCATGGCCAGAAAATGGCAACTCCTTGTTTTTATATTGGTTGTAATTCTGAGCACTGAAGCTGGGCATGGTGAGCAGGGATGTCAGCACGTAACATCTCTATAGTGATCCTCCAGTGCTTGCTAAAGCACACAGAAATGCCACTTTTTATAAGCATCCAATCCTTCAGGAATTCTTCAGTTTTTCCAAATAAATTTTATTTGGAGGTCAATATTTGAATGCGGGTAGCTGAACATGGATGTATTGTGTAAACAAGACTGTTTCAATATGTTTCTGTTTTGCTATCATATGGGTTTAGATAAGAGCTGAACTACAAGTGACATTAGCCACTTAATCTACCATGGAAACATCAGCATATACAAGATTCAGTCTAAATTTAAGATACGCCATCAAAACCATTTAGCACATTATGAAATGAACAAAATTAATTTTCAGTCACTGGGAGTGTCTCTGTTGCATCCTTCATCATTCTGAATAAATGAGAAATATCTAATAATTGAAAAAGAATAATTTGACTGTACAAAAATGGCAGTGTTCTGGGATTATCCTGCAGTGCTTCATGGAATAAGGTCTGAAGAACAATGGAGATGCTTTTAATTCTTAAATTTATTTGGTTTACGAGAAAGTTTAATGGAAACAGATTGTTTCACAAATGGAAATTATACCATTACTTACCTATTTTGTTGCACGTGATGCCAGTGCTTAACTGGAAGCCAATCCCGATTTTCTGATTTTCCATTAATTTACAGAATTGTTTCTCCTAAAGTAATATTCTGGTTTAAAAGCGATGAATTCTCAAACTCCAAAGCATTTGATAGTAGCACGCGATTTTACATTATTAAATTCTGCTAACCGGTTATGCTGCTGTCTTGGAGGAAATCATGCAGAAGATGAAGTATTCCCCTGTGCAAAAAGCAGCCATCACTGTATTTCTGTTTGAGGCATCGGTGGCCACAGAGCAAAGCATGGCCTTTTCAGCCCACTGCTCAGTTGTTTCCTCAGTCACAAGAGGAGGCAAGGCAATGCTAGCAATATAGGAAAGCTTTTGTTTTACCAACGTGCCTCGCTTCAGCCAAAGGCAAAACTGAAATATAACACTAATGAGTATGAATGACTGTGGATAACACATCGGTGCACTGTTGTTCCTCCTGTGCCACCCACTGTCTCATTTTCTCTGTTTTCACATTTCTGTACTGCAGTTCCCAGGGTTTAGTACTTTGTCGGGGATGAGAGTTTTTTGTATGACCTGCTCCGTTTGCGACGTTTACCTCCTGACCTTCAGCTGCACCCCTCGGGAGGTGCTGCGGGTACGGCTGATTTCTGAGCCACCTTGCAATTACTTGTCACCAAGCAGGACCAAGGGGCTCACGGCCACCTCCCATGGCAACGCGGCCACCCCTCACCCTGTGGCGGCGCGGGGCCACAGCCAGTCCGGAGGGAGCTTCCTCCTGGACCCCGCCGGTGTGTGTGACCCCTGGCCTCTGACGCAGGGTGGCTGCCGTGCCTTTGCCGGAACGCGGTGGCACTACCCTGCAGCGTTTGGGGGCCAGCAGTGACCCCTCGCTGGCACGGGAGGCACACACCGCCCGCGGGCTGCTGTACTCCGGGACTGAGGCTGTACAGACGGCCACAACGTTAGTTAATTAGCTGTTAATTGCTACTGCATCTTCTATGGCCGCAGGTAGATGCAGACAGTGTGGGCATCCCCCACCGGTTGTGTCTGCTTGCTCGTAGGAGTCTTCCTTTGCTCTCTTTGGAGCTGTGTTTTGTTTCCTCAGAATTTCCTCAAAATCTGCCGTGAATGCTTCTATTTCATTATGTGTTTGTGGGATGTTAGTGCATAAGGAACTGCAGCTAGTAACTTCAGAGCAAGCACAGTGTAACCCATTGCCTTTCTACTACACCTGGCATAGCAGGGACCAGACATGAATTGTGATCACTCACAGCTGCAAAAGTATGGCATCCATCTACCAGATAGGAGATATCTGAGGATATTTTCAGTTATGGGGATGAAACTTAAATTGTTGTTTCTCTGGTCTGCATGAATGTTTCTTTGACATCTTTCTCTGCTAAGTTTCTCAAGCCCAAATTCAGTTTCATTATTAAATAATCATCAGCGTTTTACTCCTTGTTCTTGCTTGGCTGACCTCCTGCTACTGTCAGCAACCATCAAGATCATGGAAGGCCAGAAAAGAGCATTTAGTGGTAAAATAGTCAAGAATATTAAAGATAAATCCATGTTGTTAAATCTACTTGTTCAAATGTCTCAGGCTCTGAATGCAGGGAAGTTTTGTTGTATGCACAGCCAGTAGCACCACCCTGCTGCTAGGAAAATGTGATTTCCATAAAATAACTGACAGCTTTCATATTTTTATTTGCAATGGAGTTTGTCATCATTACTGTAAAACCCAAGTCCTGTCTTATGTCAGCATGTGGAATGAGAAAGAGACTCCCTGCTCAGCCCTTAGACTGAAATACTATTTGGACCAGAATTCTGACTTACTTTTCACAAACTTTTTCTTTAGGCGTTTCTACTGAAATCAGTGAAGCCATTACAGATAGAAAAGAGCATTCAAAATGAATAAAAATGCTAGATTTTATGGGACACATATGAAAGCCCTCAGAAATCAGTAAAAGGTACGACATGAACATAAAAGTCTGGTATAGCCCCTGCAGTTAAATGAGCTAATCAACATCAATGCCACTCTTCAGTGTTAAGCAATACTCTACAGGTAGGTATGTATGTAGAAATGGGGGGGAAACATTTTCTTTATGTAAAAATACACTTTATTGATAGTATACAGATATAGCAGGGTTTAACAAATTTAATCTTACTTTCAACTATGTTGTAACTATGTTATGTTTCAACTTCTCTAAGGCTTTCCACAAGGTCCCACTTGACACCCTTATCTCCAAATTGGAGAGACATGGGTTTGAAGGCTGGACTGGTGGTTAAGGAATTGGCTGGTTGGATGCAGCCAGGGAATTGTGAGCAGTGGCTCTTAGGTCCAGGGGGAGGCCAGTGACAAATAGTGTCCTTCAAGGTTCTGTCTTGGGACTGGTGCTCTTCAGATCTTCCTCAACGACACAGAGAGTGGCATGGAGAGCATCCTCAGCAAGTTTGCAGATACGAAGCTGAGCAATGCAGCTGACAAAACAGGAGGGGATGTCAGCCAGGGGAACGTGGACAAGCTTAAGAAGTGGGCCCATAAAAACCTCATGAAGGCAGTCTGAGAGAATTGGCCATTGTTTAGCCTATAGAAGAGAAGGCACCAGGGAAATCTCATTGCAGCCTTACAAGACTTAAAGATTGTCAAAGCAATCATAAAAAAGGGGGACAGCAGCTTTGTACATGGATAAAGAGTGATAGGATAAGGGGAAATTATTTTAAACCAAAATAGGAGAGATTTAAATTAGATGTCAGGAAGAAGTTCTTTATTCAAGAGCATGGTCCCTCACCAACCTGGATGGCATCCCTGCCAATGGTGGAATGGGGGCTGGAACTTGATGATCAATAAGGTCCCTTTCAACCCAAGACATTCTGTAATTCTGTATATACATATATACCTAAACTCTGTGAATCAGCCATAGTATAGTCTGCCACAGTGTAACATGCAAGAACATTTATTTATCTAATGCTAGACCACTCCTTTTTATTGGTGCATTAACTGACATACACACATGAGGCTTTATTTAGTATTTCATCTGCATTGCTCAACTGTGTCAGCTTCCAAAGGATTTCAAAAACATTTTCCTATTAAAATTACTGTGAAAGTTATAATTAAGAAGTTCTATTTTTTAAATCTTTATAAGCAACATGCTGAAGACTACTTGTCAAGGGATTACAATTTAGCAACTATTTTCCGGCATAATCCTACATTTGAGAATTTTTAAGTAGCTTTGTACTTTATTGGAATCTCTCCTAAAACAGTGAATGAAGTCAGAGTCACTCATCATGTTTGCTTCATTACTAATTGATAAACCAGTGCCTTCAGATGATGCTATTCCATTTAATGAATTGCTGATGATCCCCATTGACTGCATCTGTATTGAAAACAAGAGAAGTACAACTTGTAACTACACATACAACAAATCTTGAAAATACTACTGCAAAAGACAACTGAGATGTAACTACATTGGGCTATGCTACTCCAGATCTTTCACCTACTTATGAAGTTACATGTAAAGTTCCTTACATAGAATAACATTGTCTTTTTTATCCTTATGGTATCACTGCAACTTTTAAAGTAGACTGAAATTTCTTGATACGCTAGTAATGAATATTTCATCTAAGCGGATGAACCCCTGTTTGGTAAACCTTATTTCCTCTTGAAGTATTATAGCAAATCAGTCTTGAGACTTTTTTAGCCATTTGTTTTAATGTTTTCTGGGAAGGGAAGCTCCTAACATGAGTATCCACCAGTGCTGTTTATTTAACCTGGTGAATTCTGCTGCCTGTGATCACCTCTCAGAGTAGGTGCTTGACAACAAAAGCAAGTTTAGAATTTTCCTGTTTAAACAGAAAAACACAGATGCAAAATATGGAATGCATTAATTTTTGCAGTTATATTTCTACCCTGTGGTAGGTATATCCATGGTACAGAGAAGTAAATACTTCAAAATTTTCCCTCTTAGTAATACTTTCAAAGGTGTTTTAGAAAAAATAAAGCAGGTGAATATACCAAAAGTATGTAGCTAGTTCAGAGTTTGCTTCAGCTACAAAATGAAACAAAGGTCAAGCTTTGAGGTTGAACACTTCTGAACTTCAAGGCCATTTTAACCCAGAACCATGGCTGCATTTGGATGATAGATTTTCCATTTGTAGCTCTTGAGTCACCTTAACCAGGGCTACGTTTTATTGTAGGGTACAATTCAGCCTATTCTAGTGATGAGCTGGTTAGCATTTTAAAACTTGTATTCCCCAGCTGTGTTCATAAAGTTGAAAGGTGATCTACTGGTGTAAGATACCAGTTCATTAATCACTTTTTTAGTGACACGGACACCCTGGCAGTGTAGCCATTTTAGAGAATGGGCTCACAGATTTCATTTCTTCCAAAACCACAGCTAATTTTAGATATAAATGCAAAAAAATGCAAGGGTCAGGACTTTCAGCTAGTACTAAGAAGACAGAAATGGAAATAACAAATAATTTCATCTAATGATTTGTATATGATGTGGCATGATTTCTAATGAAGTTTTGAAATGTTTTTTTGACTGATACCAGACTTAAGGAATGCCACTGTTGTCTTCAAGAACTTATCCCAGCAGAAAATTGCCTTAGGACAGAGCTCTTTGCATCAGACAGCAGTGATACTTGAATTACTTAGAATGTAAATCCAAAAAACAACACAATTATTAAGTATTTATCATGGTCTACCCCCATCTTTTCTACTGGCCTAGAAAACTCAAGTTATTACTCATCCATGAAGCTATGAAAGGCTCTAGTCTTTGTACTTGTGCATGTTGTTCATATATTTCATATTAATAAAATACTGCCTCACAGGTATGGACTCCTATAATGCCATCTACATATCTGCCAATCTATAACTAAGTCACATCCTCTGACAGAAAGATTGCTGTATCTGTAACAAAATCCTGCATTTTGCTGAATAAGAGCCTCCAAGCCCAAATGGGAGCAGACATTGTCCCCTCCCTAAAGTCACCCATACAACATAACTGGTATATATAAAAGCTACATCAAAAATCTTACCTTTTCTGTTACTTTCTCGACTCCAGTTTTCAGCTCATGTACCATATTGCTGATTTGCTTAGCTTTGCTAAGGCTGTCATCAGGTAGCTGTTGATGGTGCTCAATATGCTGGTTAAAGTGGGAAAGTGGTTCTTTCCAGGCTTGCAAAAGTTTCAGTATCACATGAGTTAGTTCTTCTCTCTTATAAATTGAAATAGCAGAGAATGTCTCTTACTTTGCAGCAGATCATATAAATACTCTTAGTCTCATTGTGAAATCTCAGTGGGATTAAGATTTACATCTGCAATTCACTACTTGAACACCACTCTGATTATTTTTATATATATAATAACACCCAGAAGTTGTACTTGATGTGTTTTCAGCTAACAAAAGCAGGGCCTCATCTCCCATTGCCCTTCCAGGGGACCTTCTAGAAGGATGTCCTGGGGGAAGCTCCTTACTCCATCACAACCAAAACCCAAAATGGTAACATTTGTCTTTGTCTGTCTCCTAGAGACAAAAGTTTCTCTCACTGTGTGTCCCCAACATCACAATTTGCTTTTTCTCTGTGTGAACAAACTCTTCCTACTCTTCTCTGAACTAATAACGATTTTTTCCTCTTTGCCATCACAACTGTGATTTAAACAAATTTGCTGTTTTCCCCCCTTACCTAACTACTGATTCAGAGATGACTGTTATTTCTTTCTCCCGATTGCTTTTTGTACTTTGCAGTGATACCGATTGATTTAACTTCTTTGTCACACATATAAGTTTCTAAGTTTCTGTTCCACAGAGTTTGCCTCAACAAAATCAAAGGGTGTCTGTCAGTCATTCTGACAAAGTACTACTGCAGTATCCTTATTATAACCAGTATATACAATCCAAGTATAGGTAACCGCATACAGATTTAAAATTAAACTGATTTAAAATTCATGTGCAATACCTCTGATGTGCACCTGTTTGGGGTCAAAACTTAGGAGCCTCTTTCATCTAGATTGTTGAAGCTGTGGAAGCATAAATACCTCTCTGCCTATCTCCAGCCCGACTGGAGTGGGGAACCATTACAGCATGATGAGACATTTTGGAGTTCTGACAGGAAAGGAGGTAATTTCCCTTTTGCCAGGGGGGAAGAAGAAGGCGATGTGATCCGCAGAGTCCCCTTCCCGTCCCCCAAACCTCGCGGTACCCCCTTCTGTCCTGTCTCTGCCCGCCGCCGTTGCTCTTACCGGGATTTTTTGGGCGTATTCTTTGCCGTTGGGGGTCAGCATCCCCGACGTGTGGCACTTCCGAGCGGGCCTTCCCAGCTCGTTGTCACGGGGAGGAAAGTGTTTTTGCTACGGGGGAACAACACCTAAACGTACACCGAGAGCACCACCACTACCCTACACCCTCCCACCTTTTTTCCCCAT